CTAGATCTCTATTCACTTTGTTTTTGATAGCTTGAGCGGTCCGCTTTGCAAAGATCACTGCTGACTTTTGTTTATTAATCTTCTGTCATGATGCCTCTTCATATTGTTGCAGGATATTGTTGAGAGCTCTACAGTTTTTGACACTTGTTTTGCAGAAAAACATAGTGTCATCTGCAAATAGTAAGTGATTAATTTTTGGGCTACCCTTGCTACGCTGATTCCTGATAGATGACCTGATCTTTGGGCTTTGCTGCAGAGTCCGGATAACAAGATGAAGAGATAAGGCGAAAGTGGATCCCCCTGTCGAATCCCTCTTTGGGGAATAATTGCTTCTCTCGATGAACCGTTGATAAGGGCCATCAAGGTCACATTAAATCCACTGTGAGTGAAATCCCAATCTCTCTAAAACCAGCTGGATTAATTCTCATTCTATTCTATCACACGCCTTCATCATATCTGTTTTGACTGCCATTGCCCCCCTTGTCGTGGCCTTGGAGGTTTTCAGGAAGTGTAGAACTTCGTTGGTTATCAAGACGTTGTCAGAGATTGCTCGGGCAGGTACAAATGCCGATTGATTTTCCGAGATGATCGAGTTTAGAATGGGATACAGTCTCGAGGTTGAGAATTTTGAAATTATCTTATAGTAGACATTGCACAAGGCTATAGGCCTGTAATCTTCCACTCTTTTGGGAACTGTCTTTTTTGGTATAAGACAGATGTGTGTTGCATTAATTTTTTCCTGCAGGGTCCCAGAGGAGAAGAAACCTTGTATCTCTTTAATGATGTTTGGTCCAATAGTTTCCCAGTTTGTATGGAAGAAGCTTGCTGAGAATCCATCTGGACCTGGCGCTTTGTCTGGATGGATAGTGAAAATCGCTGTTTTAATCTCCTCAGCCGAGGGCATCCGGATTAGCTTGGAGTTAGTTTCCTTCGAGATGCATGGCTTCAGGCTTTGGTACACAGTTTCCGCTCTATCCCTATTATAAGAGGTAAAAATATCCTGAAAGTACTTTGTGAATAAACCAGCGATTTGGTCCTCTTCATATACAGCTTTTCCTTCTTCATCTTCTAACACTGAGATATTATTCCGCGCTCTTCTACGGCGGGTGGCCGCATGGAAGTATCCACTGTTTTTATCCCCTAAGCTGAGCCAAAGTTGACTGCCCCGCTGTCGCCAATATTCTTCTTCCGCTTGGTACGCACTTTTCAGCTCCTTATTTATTTGCTGGATTCGAAGATCATTGTTGTCCTGAATCACCATGGCCTCTTTTAATTTTGCCCTCTTTTCCTCTATCTTCTTTTGGTTATTTAGATGGTGAGCCCTATGCCACTTTATGATGGTTTGACGGCACTTTAAGATTCGGGCTTCTACTGTCACTTGGTTACTGGAATGCCAAGCCTCTGCAATCTCCTTTACCTCCTCGTTGTTCTTAGTCTTCTGTCATACCAGAAGAGGCCCTTACTTTTTTTTCTTGCGGATAAAAAGGACGTGATTATCAGTTTGTGGTCAGATCTCTTAAAGGTAAGATATTCACTTCTGTCCGAGGGGAAGCTTTCTATCCATTCACTATTTGCCATTGCTCTATCCAATCTGCATCTGACCTTGTGTTTATGTCTGACTCTTCTCCACGAAAGGAAGTTTCCAGAGCAGCGGAGGTCATATAAGTCACACTCCGATATAAAGGATCTGAAGTGAATGAAGGTGGATTCTGCCCTTTGAGGCCCCCCCTTTTTCTCAGAGTTGCATGTAATATCATTGAAATCGCCAGTTAGCATCCACGGTGCGTCTCTTCCTGCGGTTATAATTTTGATTAAAGACCACACTGCATGCTGCTTTGCCTGTTCTGGTGCTCCATACACAAAGGTTGCGAAAAAGCTTTTCCCCTTGAATTTAATCTCAATATCTATGAAATTATCGCATTTGTGTAAGATAGACATTTCCACTTCGTTTTTCCACAGTAGTGCTAGTCCCCATCCACCAGCAGAGTGGGGTGGAACAAGGGTGTTGTGATCGTAATTTAATCCTTTCAGCTTGTTGAGTACGAAGAGATCACTATTCTTCGTCTCCATGAGGAATACAATTTTTGGGAAATCATGTTTCTTTTTGACTTCTCTCAGTCTCTGAACTGTCAAGGGATTCCCCAAACCTTGGCAGTTCCAGCTTACAATTTTTAAGGAATAAGGATTGACGGGTCCCGAAAACCCATCGTTCCTTTTAAAATAGCAGGTATTATCGTACTTCTCGGTTGCTGGTTAGAGCGGGCCAGGTTCTCTTAGTTTGAGGGTGATTCCGCTTGTCCTGGTACTCTAGAAGGCCCCCCTGCAGCATCTTCTATTCTCCCCCGAGGGGTTAGATTTAAACGTTTGCGAGGTGGTCCTTGTGCATGTGCTTGTATTCCATTTCTTTTTCTTGAGCTAGCTCCGTTGTAAACCTTTGGGCTGATTAACATTAATTTTTTTTGCAGTTGTTTTTCCTCCCCTCTTCTTTTGTTGAGATTTTTCCTTTAAGGTTCTGTGGGCAGGACTTTCCCTTGACCTTGGCCCAAGTCTGAGCATAGCCGGAATCCTTTCTTGAGATAGGGGTAGAGTCTCTGGTACAAATTCTTCAGTGGGGGAATGAGCTTGAGATCTCAGAGCTGTTATCACCATGTTTGCATCATCTTCTTCTAATTCACCAGCCTCTTCCGAGAGCCTCAAAGGTTCCTTTTGAGCCGCGCTTTCAGAGAGATCAGTGCAGTTTGAGTATTGTTCCATCACTTCCCGGACTTCACCAATTGCCTCAGCCAAAGACTGAGATGGGAGTTCTGCCGTTGGAATTTCATGGCTTTTAGACACTTCCGGAGTGGCAACCCGAACGCTTGGTGGGCTTCTCTGCGGATTAGTTTCCTGTCTTCTTGGTCTCCACTCTGCACAGGGCGTAGCCTTTGAGTAGTGATGTCGGGGAAAGCCAGAAGAAACTCTTGTATATGGGGAGGCGTGAGAGCACGAGACGTCACGGGCACGGTGGAATTCACTATGGTTGCTCAGGGCTCTCCCTGCTCCCCAACTACTTCCTTCCTCCCTTAAAACTCGATCTTTGACAAGAGACAGGGCATAGGAGGAGCGTTCCTTGTAACCCCTGTAGTTACCGCCATTTTGGTAGCGTGATTCTGTTCGACGATCATCTCTGGGGGGATTTCTCGAGTGTGGGTTTTAGATTTTGAAATTTCTCCTTGAGATTTGCCTCCTGTGAGCGTCTTCTCTTTAGTTCATGGGGGGGGCTCTTTGCTTTTTTCAACTTCCTGAGCTTTTACTAAGGGGCATTTGCTCTCCTCGTGATCAAGGTGGTGACACTTAGAACAGTGGCGCTCAAGCCTTTCGTACACTAAGTTTACCATCACCTCGTCTCTATTTGGGAATTCTACAATTGAGTTCATGATTAGGGGCTGGAGACCATTGATGTGTACTCGCCTCCTCGCCGCGTTAAAGGTAATCTCCACATCTTCAAACTGGCCAATATCTTCGCCAATTGATTGAATTGTCTCTAGGGTCCACAGGTGGAGGGGGAGCCCTTGCACCTTGATCTAAAACGGGATCTGGGACGGAAAGGGTGGGGAGATGAAAGGTTCCTACATTTGGAGAATTATCATCTACCTTGCAAAGTGATATGGGCGCTTGTCAAGAACCAGGTTTAGATCATCTTCGCAAGTAAAGGAGAACTGGAACATCCCTTGTCCTAGGTCTGTCTGCTCCTACCGCTCTTGTCGATGTTTTCTATTTGTCTGAGAAGAAGGAGATTATAGACCATGTTTTTTGTACTCTAGGGTTTGTTACTCTCCCGACCAGAGTTAGAGAGTGCTTATGAATCAGATCTGCGTTGTTTGGTTCAGACATCCTTACACGAGAGATCCGTGGACCTTGACTTCATAAGTCGACAGCTTTTCCTTTTTCCGCGTAAGATAGTCGGTTAGTCATGATCGAGAACCTGAAAAACAGACAAAAATCTCAGATCTACACCAAAACAGGTGAGAGTTTCTACACCAAAGGGTTAGTTTTGCTACACCTTTCGGTGTGAGAAGTTTGACAAGTGGTTAGGGAACTACTGTAAGATTTCCGGAGGTAGACGCTAGTGAGAGAAAGTCACTAGATTTTGGGTAAAATGTTCTCGGAGAGAGACTCCTTCTCTCAGCGTAGTTTTCTACTTCAGTCCTCAGAAGCAGGGGAACGAGTAAATTCCATCTTGAAGTCAGGGAAGCAAGGGACGAGCTTACCGACATGAAGGCGGACCCTCTGACCCGGAGGCAGGGGTTGAACCACGGGGTTTCGATTCCCAAGATAGTATAAGATTTGAAAAACTTTCTATTTTAAGGAAAGAAAAGTAGTTGCGATCGTCAAAATAATCAAAACCAACAAAAAAAAATTTTCCTTAAAAAGAGTGTCTGTAAACATTTTTTTATCTGAATAAAACTTACGATATTTTAGGATTTATTTTTGAGATTTACAGTTTGACTATATTATTATTATACATTTTTTAGTCTCTTCAACATTAGCTGTTGTGAGACACTAACATACTCTCTCGTAAGAGCAAAAATGTCATACTTTTGCAATGAATCTCTCATAATATTATCAATGAATATAATTATATATCAAAAAAACTTATATCAAATATACAAAGTTTATAAAGTTAGTCAATTTTTGATAACGTACACACTATAACTATTATCGTTTCTTTTAAATATTTTGTTCTTTCTTTTTTATCGTTTGATCTAATCTAATCTAATCCACTTGTTCTTTATTAATTACACTTTGCATGTTGCACTCACATTCGAACTCTATACGTTAAAAAAATCGATTGTATTTCTTCTCTATGTTATGGACCCCACTAATCTGTCAATAAATAACCATCTTTCCAAAGAATCCATACCACCTGAAAAACACAACTCTTAAAAGAAAAAACCAAAAAAAAAATCACTTCATTTTTTTTTCTTTTCTCCGAAACACTAAAACCACATAGTGTCGACATGGGTTATTATTGCCAAGAAGATAAGCTAGTGAACACGATCTGCGATCTGTACGAAAAGATCTCGAAGCTCGAGAGCTTGAAACCTAGCGAAGATGTCGACACTCTTTTCAAGCAGCTCGTGTCCACATGCATACCACCAAACCCTAACATCGACGTCACCAAGATGTCTGCAAGCATCCAAGAGATGAGATCAAACCTCATCAAACTCTGTGGTGAAGCTGAAGGTTACTTAGAGCATCACTTCTCTTCAATCTTGACCTCTTTTGAAGACAACCCACTTCACCATTTGAACATTTTCCCTTACTACAACAACTATCTCAAACTAAGCAAGCTCGAATTCGATCTCCTCGAACAGAACCTAAACGGATCTGTTCCAAAGACTGTAGCTTTCCTTGGCTCTGGTCCTCTCCCTCTCACTTCCATCGTACTTGCCTCTTTCCATCTCAGAGACTCAATCTTTCACAACTTTGACATCGACCCATCAGCGAATTCGGTTGCAGCTCGTCTTGTTTCATCTGATTCTGATCTCTCTCAACGTATGTTCTTCCACACCGTTGATGTAATGGATATGACAGAGAGCTTGAAGAGCTTCGATGTTGTGTTCTTGGCTGCTCTTGTAGGGATGGATAAAAATGATAAGATTAAAGTGATCGAGCATCTTGAGAAACACATGTCTCCTGGTGCTTTGCTCATGTTGAGAAGCGCTCATGGACCTAGAGCCTTTCTTTATCCCATCGTCGAACCTTGTGATCTCCAAGGCTTCCAAGTGTTATCGGTTTATCACCCGACCGATGAAGTTATCAACTCTGTTGTCGTCTCCAGGAAGCTTGGTGGAGATGGTGTTGTTGATGATCACATGGATCATCAAGATTCGGGTCTCTCTTGCAACTGTTCCAAGATCCAAGCCATTATGAACAAGAAGAAGAGCATAATTGAGGAGTTCGCAGGAGCTATTGAAGAACAGCTTTCTTAGGATTTGCTGTTTTGTTACAGTTTTCTTGATCAATCTATGCTGTCTTTTTTTTACCGAGTGTTGCATTGCATGTTCTTGCTATAGTACTGTTCTTGTCTTTTATCTTTTTGCGTTGTTCTGTTTCTTAGCATCTGATTTGAGATTTGACAATGACAACTTCTTTTTTGTTGGATTTAGTGAAGTCTATTGCAATTTGCAAAGGGTCAATCAAACACAGATTCTGTGATAGAACCAATTATTCTTGTCGGTATTAAAACAAAAGAAAACACATAAAAAGGTCCCATTACGATAACGATACGATTGGCCGACATTCTTGCCTCTGGTTCTGTTCAAAGAGGAGACTTTTTGTGAGATTATATCCTAAAGTAGAAAGGTCCGATTCCAAAGGAACATGATTCTTCTTCTTTCTCATGTTGTGGATGTAAATAGAAGACGCATTGTTTCTATTCTAAGTCCCAATTGCAGAAGTAATATTTGGATTCTTACTCTTAAATCCATAAGAGGGAACTCTCGTCTATGTAAGACGCATTGTTTCTATTCTAAGTCCCAATTGCAGAAGTAATATTTGGATTCTGACTCTTAAATACTCTGAGAGTTTAACTTATTAAAGGCAAATTTAAACTAGAATTTGGAGTGATTTGTATTAAATTATCAAATTTTGTGGTATTGAAATAATGATTTGAAACCAGTGTTATTGAAGTAATGATTTGAAATTTCTTTTAAATCCACAATAATTGAGAATATATTGGTTTTAATTGGTAACTAATAAAAAAAAGAACAAAAAAAAGAATATATAAAAATAAAATATATAAATAAAAAAATAAATAAGTATATTTTATTTTTTATGAAATTTTATAAGTAATACATTATTCTTCCTCGTTCTCTTGATCACAGGTTTGAAACATAAATTATAGATTCTATGAGATTTTACATATTTTGATGGAGTTTTCTAATTAAAAATATAAAAATTTAAATGTTAGTGAGAAACCATTGTTAGGATGGCACGGAAACGTTGAACGTCAAAGTGGCGGCGTAGCCATGGGAGCCCCGGTTGTGGAGGGCGGCATGATGAGATAAATTACATTGCCGTATGTATATGCGAATTACTTATCTTTTATTTTCTTTGAAATAATGACATTATTCGGGTTTGTGACTTTGTCTTTGTGTTTTTTTTTTTTTTTCACCTTTGGGACTCTTGTGTTTGCTTGTATAAATTAATGACATTATTCGGGTTTGTGACTTTGTCTTTGTGTTTTTTTTTTCCCCTTTGGGTCTCTTGTGTTTGCTTGTATAAATTTTATTTAATAATTGGTCATGCAGTTGTGACTTTGTTAGAATAAGCGAAGGCAAAAAAGTTGTCCTAGTTATATAGTTTGATTTGTTCATTGAAGTATATTAATGTTTGGGCATTGGAAAAGATACAGGATAAGTCGTGAAATTGGTTAAACTTTAGATATAATTTCATAGAATTTTAATAGGAAAATCATAAAAACTTAGAAAATCAATACAAATCATCTAAAAACTCATAAAAAAAAATAAAATCTATCTAAATCACTCCAAGTTCTAGTTCGAATACATCCTAGGCCTGTGATTCGGTTTTATTTTGTTGAACATTTACTGATATTTGAGTTTCAAAATACACTTTTAGATGTTTAGTTAATCTTAAACATTATTTGCAAAGTGATTTTGAGAAATAGAACTCTCTCATTCAATCTCACTAAACATTACCTAAGTACTCTTAATGAAAAAATCGTTAATCTATTCTACTATTTTCCGAGATTTTTAATACTTTTCAATATTATTTTTTGCTGATTTTGTGTATATCTCGAACTTAATTTTTAGATATCTCTAATGTTTTTTTTAATTATTGAATAAGTTAGGAAATAACCAAAAAAAGAATATTCGTTGGTTTAATAATCCTATGGTTATCAAACTATAAATATAGTTACCATTATCCTATGCGAATCTTAATAAAATATAAGTAATTTCGTATGCTTTCTAAAATTATAAAATTATTCTTTTAATTCGAGCCGTGACCCATAATGTATGAGCAGTTGTCATGCAACATTAATCTTCTCTATATATATAGTTCAGTATTCTAGGACTGGCAAAACTTATCGATTTGTTTGTTTGTTCTTCGTGTTTTTTAGATTTTGTATTTTGGTGAAATTTTCATACGCGTATCTAATAAATTTTTTTATATGCATGCAGTTGATGGCTTTGTTGATCTTCTTTAATTATTGCTCTACTTAGACGGTATGCTCTCTACATATATCATATAGATGTATTACGTTCTTTTGTTGATTTGGATATTCGTTTAACCTTTTTTATTTTGTTGACGGATAGGTTTTCGGCGCTGAATGCGTTTCGATTACGTGAAGAATCATCGAGATGTTGTTTCCTTCTTTGTAGTTTTGCAGCTGATCATGTTTTTAATTTTATATGTGATTAATAGTTTCTTATGTATATTTGATTAATATTTTCTTATGTAACAGTTATTTGGAGAATTTATTCGTATATGCTTATCTAATGAATTCTTTATATGTATTGTGTAGGCGGTATGGTTTATTTATCATCTCGAACTGTTGATGATAAATAAACGGTATGTTTTCTGTTTATGGCGAATATACAGATGCATTATATTATTTTCATTTTTGTTAAGTATTTTGTGATATTGATTTGAGTTTTTGTTTTGTTTCTGATGGCTAAGGGTTGTTCACTTTTAGTTGGGGATTTGGTGGTGTGGCGTGATCGCACTTTTGAATATATTATCGATATATTCACATTCTACTCGAGAGGTTTGTGCCGTTATGGTTTTTTTATTGTCTTAATGTTTCAGATTTTGCGTATAGTCTATTTTATGATATTTATATTCTCTTAATAAGGTCACACTGTATTTGACGCTTTTCTATATTTATATCTGACGTTTTTTTTAATTGTAATGTTTAATGTGTGATAGGGTTCTTGCAATGGTGTACTTAATGATTTGTCCAATGTTGAGTTTGGAGTGTAGAGGACGTATTGGGATCATCAAAGATAGAAATTTTTGGATTCTTGGGTGTATCTGCTTGATCGTGTATGTTTTGAAGAGAAACACTTTCATTGATATTCAGTTGAGATTAGTGTAATTTTATTGTATTATGTTATCTATGATTTGTATTTAGGCCGTCTATGATTTGTAATAGTGATGTGTTCTCTTAATAAATTATTTTTTTATTCTATTTGGTTATTCAATGATATTTCGATTATATTTTCTTCTTTATTTTTTTAAGATGTTTAAAAATAGGAGTTTAGCGTACTAATTGAAATTAGATTGATGTTACTTCTCTCTTGGCCCAAAATCGACTAACACATTTTTATCATACATCCATAAGTTAAGGTTGAACACAACATAATATTTTTTTTTAAAACAACCCTTCTGATGAGAAATTGTGAAACATAATAGATATCTTAGTTAGAGTCTTCGTCATTGCCGTTCCTGAAAGAACAAAAAACAATATAAATAGTTGGTTTTGGGAATCATTAATAAGAAGGTAAAACACAGTTTAAGCTTTATTCTACTTATAGTGCACGCTTGAACCGTCTAGCCTCGGAATGTCTGGATCATACAAAACCCTCGATACTTCTCCAGCATCCACCAGTTGAACATGTTACTATATAAAAGGATTACATATTAATCGCTAAATAAAATGGTACAGTTTAAAAATATAAATTAACATCAAAATTTATATGTAAACATACCTCCAAATTTGACCACATGAAAATCACCTAGGACACAAACCATGTTATTCGAGTTGAAGTTCCACCATTTCTTAGTAATTTCAAGTGCAAGTTTCCCATGAGCAACACAGCTTAGATTTGTCCCTCTGTCATAAGTAAACGTATAATTCACAAAGATAGATCACTTTAGATGCTCCAGGATAAATACCGAAATAATATCATCCATATATATTCATTCAACTTTAAATTAAACATACTGTGTGTTCTGGATAGCAAATGAGAGCTGGCATGTATTGACAGGACACATGGGCCCAAAGTCAGTATCTTTTACTTTGACAATATCCGTAAGCATAGATATCCGACCTAAGACATCTGAAAATAAGGCAAAAAAACTTAATCTGTTAACTCATCATTAAGTACACAAATATATCTAACTTAGAAACATAAACAAAAATACTTACGAACTGGTACATCATGGTTGAATCTTCCATTGATAACATCATCGAAACCTATGAATTTCATGTAGTGTTCGTCGGTTACATCATACTCCTTCCTCACGTCAGTGTTATCGAGTATACGAATTTTCCACTTACAATCGACCAAACGATTAACTGCCTCACTTTCAAAGACCATAAAATGATGTAACTTAAACCATTTTTCAACAATTAGTTTCGTTCTATAATAGGGCTGGTTTTGGAGATTATCACATATAGCATGGATTTTATCACCCTACCAAATTTTATTAAACCGTAAATTAGACAAACATATAATCAAAAGTAAACTAAAATATCACAAAGGATGAAATGAAATATACCTCTTCATCGACGAATATGAAGTTTAACATTTCGGTTTCACCTTGAGAATGGGATTCCCAACACTTAAAAACCATGACACAGATGTGCCAGTTAGATCTCCACTGATTGAGATTCTTGATATTGTGAAACAAAAGATCCATCCTTAACAAAAATCTAAAATTGACGGTTTTAAAGACAGGAAAAAAAAGTAGTAGGTTTCGGGTGATAACATCTTATTCCAATATGAAGTATTATTTATAGAGTTTGAAGAATTAGTGTTTTCGATGATATCGAAATGATGTATCTCAAATTCAAAATTTAAACTTGAATTTGCACCTATTAATGAAAAGACATAAATGATGCCTCTTGATATAATATAAAATATTATATATCCATATATGTATCTATTTCTGAAAAGATCGTCATAATTACAAAAATTAGGTCCAATAAAGTAAACTATTTCTGTAAACAAAATAAACAAAAATG